TTCAAATATATTTCTAACTTCGATTTTTTTTTTTGACAGCCCTAACACACATATTTACAGCTGGTCTATTCGCACGGGATTAGTACTACCTGAGGTAATTGTCCGGGACCCTTTTACAGAAGGTAAAAGTCGCAGTAATCTTTACTGACATCGTGCCGTAATGATTACTGACATGGCACATTCGGACGGGACTAAAATCTCTGGTAATTATTACTTTACCCCACGTACCTATGTAAAACTAATCTCGTCTGAATAGGGCTTTAGAGTCCCGATGACAAACTTCTGTCTCAAAGTCCGGAAGACAAACTTCTGTCTCAAAGTCCTGAAGACAAACTTCTGTCTCAAAGTCCAGAAGACAAACTGCTGTCTCAAAGTCCTGAAGACAAACTTCTGTCTCAAAGTCCAGAAGACAAACTGCTGTCTCAAAGTCCTGAAGGCAAACTTCTGTCTCAAAGTCCAGAAGACAAACTGCTGTCTCAAAGTCCTGAAGACAAACTTCTGTCTCAAAGTCCAGAAGACAAACTGCTGTCTCAAAGTCCTGAAGACACACTCTGTCTTAAAGACAATTGTCAGTTGCTAATCACACATTATCAGCTCTAGCATGTTTATAAATTAGCCGCGCAGCTAGCTGACTTTCCTCCTCTGTTCATATCTTAACAAATTTGGTGCAACGTTATTATTTTTTTTTTTGTTTCAGTCTCTGCGTCTCCTGACAGAACAGCTCAGTTGAATTTCACACTGTGTGAACGTTATTGCAGTCGAACATTGATTTATTCCCGAGTAAATAACGCTCTCCTCATCGCCTTCCTCTCGGCTGCTCGCCGTCTGCCTGCTGCTGTTCGATGGTGACGCAGACTTTCAAAATAAAAGTGTATCCTAAAGATGAAGACATATATATCGATGTTTTCACTTGGCATCAATGATATTGGATCACTGATCATTTAATTGATATATTTTCGATATATATCGATCCAGATCGATGGATCATTACACCCTTACTGTGATGTGGCACAGCAGTGCCCCCTAGCTGTATTTTGAAAGGTGCTCTTTTATTTTGAAACTCCTTGGCTTTCTATTGGTTGTTAGAGTCACATGGGTAAGGTCACAGGTCAGACCGGCCATCTTGGTTGTTATTATGGATAGAAATGTGCTCCAGAGCATCCCTCTTTTAATCTGGTGCATCCACCGTCATTGAGCCCTGGAGAAGCTTTGTTTGTTAGTTTTATTATATATTATATTTGTGCAGTTTGTAGTTTGTGGATATTGATTGCTTATTTCATATTTTTTTTTACCTTTAGATGCTAATGCTAAAAGTGCTATTTTGTTGTATGCAGCATGTTTATATGTAGCATCTAGCTCTATGTTGTAAGCTACCTGCACTTTATAACACTTTTATGTATATAAAAACATTTTTCTGTATTCCTATTCCAGTTTCACAAGAAACGGCTTCTGGCTTTGTAAAGCTCTGACAAAGACCAACAGTAAACAGCCTCAACTTACTTAAACGTCCGAGTCATCATTCAGTGCCAAAGCTAGTGTTTAGCTATCTGTTACTCTGTGCAGTCACGCACACACAGTGGACAGAATACTTACTACTAGCCAACCAACAGAAATGCAGCATGAAATGAGCCAATCAAACAGACAGATAGCAGCTCGCCATGGAGGCAAAACTAAAGCGCTAAAAGACGTGAGGAAAACCTTGTGAAGCTTTGTGATGTGTCCTCCAGCTCTGACCATGATCGCGTAAAGAAGGACGAAGCATGGAAGGAAATAGAGGTGGAGCTACAGCCGCCAGGTGAGACACCTACAGCTAGCAGACACACACACACACACACACACACACACACTGCAGGATATAGTGACCACTAAACTGTGGGTTATGTTAATGTGTCCCTCTGTGTTGTCCTTCACAGTTGAATTAATAACCCTGCAGCATCACTCAGTGTGTGAAGCTGTGACATCATAGCCTATGATTCAGTGGGCGCCGTCATCGTACAGTCTGCTGACATCACACTGGATGGTTGTTAGCTCCATGTCTCACAGTGGAGCTGACTGATCAGATGTTACGGTCTGTGGGAGGATTAAAGACAATGAGTCTATTTAACATTTTAAAACTACAGTCATTTATTTCTCAGTGGTGAGAGAAGTCCTGTGGACTGTCCTGATCTTATTACTGCTCAGAGACACGAGGTTTGTCTCCTCCCAAATATCTCTGTATTTGACTCGCTGACTCTCTTTGTTTGAAATGTCAGGTTAAATATCTTTTTAAAAAGATATGAACCTGAACATCACAGACACAGAGCTGAGAGACTGTTACAAACTGTGACGCCTTCACTCGTCACTGTGCGCTCTACTCCAGGGCCGGCGGCCATCTTTGACCTTTGGCAGGTTCAGTCACTGTATCTGTTCATGTATAAAACTGTACGTGGTGAACTCCCCTCACACACTGTGACTGAGCTGAAGCTTCAGTCTGAGGTCGACAGGTTTAGGCCATGTTTACACGAAAATGATCCACTGAAAACAGAATCGTTTCTCATTTTCGTTTTGAAAAAAGTTCCGCGTTTGGACGACAACATTTTGATAACAATCGCCGTGCACTGCAGTATACATGCGTGGCCAGTAGTTGGTGGTGTGACGCTTACGCTTCCTTCTACAGAGCAGTGATGTAAAAAAAAAACAAAAAAAAAAACGTTTGTCTGGATGGACCATAGATATATATAATCATATATATATACATATATATATATATATATATCTCATCATCATGTATATGATATCTATGGGTCGGACGACGAGGTGGAGTTGCTACAGTAAATCTACACTATGATGGGGAAGTGTTGATAAATCCAACAGGGTGAGCAGCACAAGCAGAGCTCGGGAGTCCGCCATTGTTGTTGTAATGGTCAACTTTCTTGTGCATGCCTAGTGACTGGAAGCGTAATGCGCATGTGCCAAAAGTCTCCGTTTTCAGAGGAACTGTATATTGGAAGTTTACCTGACAACGGAGACACTGCCGTTTCAAAAAAATTGCACTCTGGAACCCGTTTTCAAAATGTTGCATTTTCAGGCACCCAAAACGCCGCTGTCGTGTAAACGATCGGCCAAAATGCAACTAAAGTTTATTGTCTTCAGTTGAAATCGTTGTCGTATAAACGGGACCTCAGCCTGGTTGGAAGTTCCTGGTGAACGGACACCTTTAGGTGCTCTGATCCTCTCGCTCTGACAGACCCTCAGATCTGATACTGGGAGAACTGGGCTCTGTCTGATGTTACCGATCTGATAAGGATGGATGTGTGAAGGTGTTTTCATATCTAATATCTCTGATGTTGGATTATGGGTAATATTTTTTGTCTTCATCTGGTCTCCTTTAAAATAAACACCTGGTTAATCATGTGACCTGTTTGTAAACACACAGTCGCTCCTCCGTCAGGAGGCGAGTACAAACCCTACACCCAGGAGGACACCGACACCATGAACCCACCGAGTACTACAGAGACCTCATGACCTTTCCTCTAGCACCCCCTCAGGACAAACAAACAAACCTCAACTCTTGGTGCGAAGCAAATGTGTGATTTGGCTCCGCCCTCTCTGAACTGGTGTTCTTTTAGTTTTCCCCAAGCTAAACTCATAGACGGTACCTGGTACTTCTTCTGAGGTTCCAAGTGGGCGGAGTTAAAACCCTGCAGACCACTGATTGGTCAGAGAGAGTCCTCTGTAACAAGACACATGATGTCCTGCACACATCTTTATAAACAGTCAAGTGACCGTCAATAATGAGCATCCACTCGACCCAGATGTTAAAACATGGTGGCCCACTAACACACCGTTCACTTTGTACACTACACTGTGGTCGACTAACAACGTGCAGATGCCCTCTGTTCAGCTCCCAGTGAGAGGACTGTGTTCAATCAATCAATCAATCAATCAATTTTATTTATAAAGCCCAATATCACAAATCACAATTTGCCTCACAGGGCTTTACAGCATACGACATCCCTCTGTCCTTATGACCATTAAAGATGATGTCATCACAGTTGTACATAGCGTCATGATGATGATGATGATCCCAGAGTTTCATCTACTGTGGAAACTAAACTGACCAAAACACCTCCCATCAGAGAATTCAGAAATCAGACGCAGCGCTCTGAGGTCGTCTGTAGTGTGTGTCAGTAATGAAACTGCAGCTGTGTAAGAACCACAGCACAGAAACACTCCAGTAACGTACGAGTACCTCACACCTGCTCTTTAGTACAGTAACTGAGTAAATGTACTTAGTTTCTTTCCTCCACTGTTCACATTAATATATTTATTTACAACTCTGATTGATAAACGTTTTAAAATAAAGTTCTGTTTCTGCTCAATGATTACTGACTAATAATCATATCGTCACATCTTTAATCTGAAAAAATAAACTGTATCTGAAGCTCATATTTAGAGTCTTAAGTATTTACCTATAAAATGATGGTGAAATGTGCCTTTAATTTCTGACAGCTCAGTTTGTCCATGAATGAACAGGTGTAAAGTGTTTCAGAGGAAAAACAACATGTAAACTTTAAAATTTATCTGTAGCTCAGTTTTGACCTGGAACATGCTGGCGAGAGTGATTTTAATATCTGAACCTCTGAGGGTGAAATTAGTGATTCAGAATCAGAGAAATATTAACATGAATAAATAAAGGCTGAGACTCAGATACTGACGCTGACTGTAAGAGGACAGTGTGGGGACAGTATGAGGACAGAGGACAGTATGAGGACAGTGTGAGGACAGAGGACAGTATGAGGACAGAGGACAGTATGAGGACAGTATGAGGACAGAGGACAGTGTGAGGACAGTGTGAGGACAGAGGACAGTATAAGGACAGTATGAGGACAGTATGAGGACAGAGGACAGTATGAGGACAGTATGAGGAAAGAGGACAGTGTGAGGACAGAGGACAGTATGAGGACAGAGGACAGTATGAGGACAGAGGACAGAGGACAGTATGAGGACAGAGGACTCACCCCAGAGTGCTGATGAAGCCGTTGACGGATCCCTCGGCGTACAGAGACACGATGTCCCCGATGTGGAGGAAACTGGAGGCAGAGTCCGACATCCTGCAGCTGATCCGGGACCCGCCAACAGACTGAGACGAAGGTGCAGATACTCAGGTGGACCGGGACAGACAATCTTTACCTCTGTCTCAATGTCTCCGTGTGAGCGGGAGGACTCTTCAGAGACAGTACAGGAAAGTTAGTGTCTCCTGCAACCTCAGATCAGATCAGATCTGTCTGTCCCTCGGTGTGAGACAGGCTCAGAGAGATAAAATGTCTTAGAGAGAGACAGCCGGGTTCATGACAGCAAACTGGAAAAACCTCCCGACCAGTCCGCAGCAGCAGATTCAAACTTCAGACTCCTCAGTCAGCTCCTCACAGACTCAAACAGCAGGTTATAAACTCCTCTCAGACTCGAACCCGCAGCTCCGGACCCTGTCAGACCCGATCCTCGGTCTCCTCCTGGTCTCTAACAGAGCTTGTGTCGTGCAGCAGTTTAACGTGTTCACACACACACGGAGGTGAACCGAGCTGTTCCCTCCCTCCTCTGACACTGTGTGTGTGTGTGTGTGTGTGCGCGCGTGTGTGTGTGTGTGTGTGTGTGTTGGCGTGCACGTGCGGTGCGTGCTCCCGCTGAAGACTCGGGTAAAAAAACCAGGAAGTGAGCCGAGGTGTTGATAAGGCTGACACACAGCTTCAAGACGGAACAAAACACACTCACACACACACACGGGCGTGCACGGGCGAGTCCACGAGGCGTGTGCACGCGCACACATGTCCTCCAGTACCCCCCCCCCCCCCCACGAACAAAACACAGCAAACCGGATAATCAACATTTTGACACAAATAAACACATCAAACAGGAAACAGATCAAATAAAAACTGTTTAAAGTTTCAACTTTATTATTTCAAACTAAAATATACATAAATATATTTAATGTCACCTGATCAGGTTAATTTAAGAACAGGTCGTTATTTATGGGGGGGGGGGGTCGTCAAATATTGTTTTAAGCAGTGGGGAGGGACTTGTGTTGTTTGGTTGAGGGGCGAGGTTTACACATTTACATGGTTTTATTTTGGATTTATTTTACTGCTGATTTTTACAGAAAACATGTTCTCTGTAAAAATCAGCAAAATAACTTGTTTATAAGCCAGAAACTGAAACAACAGAAATTATTGTGAGATTACCAATAGTCCCTGAACACATCATGTGGGAGGAACACTTCTGTTAGAAAAGAAATACCTGATGTTAAAATATTGATATTTCATCACAATCATTTTTTATTCTACATCTAACTTAAAATTTGTCCAAAAATAAAAACTTTTTTTTTAACTTTCAAACAAGGTCTGTCTGTGTTTAACCCTCAGTGTGACCTCACAGGAGCGGTGACCTCACAGGAGCGGTGGCTGCAGCACCTCCTCTGTAGGTTTGTTTCCTGTCAAAGTTGCTCTGTGAAGCTCATGAAGCTAATAAAGTCCACATTTGGACCACAACCCATCTGTTTGAAACCACTGGTCCACACTGGCTGAGCGGCTACTTCATGTTTAGCGTGCTGCTAACTTACAGAGGGATGAAAATGATGAGTTTTCTGACTGCAGGACTTTTATTATCACAGGGAGGTGTTTGGTGCTTTACTGAGAGAGATACACACTGTGTGTGTGTGTGTGGAGCTGCTGTTTTAACAACAGGAAGTCCAGTCAGCATGACTTCACACAAACACACACACACAGTGACATTAGTTTATCAGATGAATCTTCTTCAGTCTGATGACGCGTTTGGGTTCAACACAGGTTCCTTCGTGTCGACACAGGTGACATTTGGTTCTGAAGGATCCAGGACTGAAGGTCTCGGTGAAAACACGCCCCTCCCACACTACTGTGAAATGATCATCATACAGTTGGATGAATCTGATTGGCCACCACCTGAAGAAGGGAACCACAGGGTACACAGAGGTGCTGATGTCACTGGTGGAGACAGACATCCGTCTAATCACAGATCTTCATCCTGAGGGACGGAGACAGAGACAGGAAAATAAATCTACATCAGGTGTGACGCTCTAACTGAAGGACTGATGGACTGAGGGACTGATGGACTGATGGACTGATGGACAGATGGACTGATGGACTGAGGGACTGATGGACTGATGGACTGATGGACAGATGGACTGAAGGACTGACGGACTGATGGACTGACGGACCGAAGGACCGACGGACTGATGGACTGATGGACCGATGGACCGAAGGACCGATGGACCGAAGGACCGATGGACCGACGGACCGACGGACCGAAGGACCGATGGACCAATGGACCGAAGGACCGACGGACCGACGGACCGATGGACTGATGGACCGATGGACCAATGGACCGAAGGACCGATGGACCGACGGACCGAAGGACCGACGGACTGATGGACTGATGGACCGATGGACCGATGGACCTATGGACCGAAGGACCGATGGACCGATGGACTGAAGGACTGATGGACCGAAGGACCGATGGACCAATGGACTGAAGGACCGAAGGACCGATGGACTGAAGGACTGATGGACTGATGGACCGAAGGACCAATGGACTGATGGACTGATGGACCGAAGGACCGATGGACTGAAGGACTGATGGACTGATGGGCCAATGGGCCGATGGACCGAAGGAGCACTATTATTAAATTGCTGGTAGAGTGTATTGACAGAGGAGAGGCGTTCACCAGACAAACAGGAGTGGAGGAGAGGATTTTACTCCACTTCTCCCGGTCAGAGATGCTGGGTGCCCAGTAGCTGCGAAGGCTGCCCTCACATTTATGGCCAGTGACCGACATGATCTCCCTGCTCTCCAGGCCAGCTTGGGAGAGCTGTGTGGATGAACGTTAACTGATTTTGATGCTCCTCAGTCTGAGGCCGTTGCTATGGCGTCCTTAGCAACGGAGCAGCAGAGCAGCAGTGATACCTCAAGAAATAAACACAGCAGAATTTTGTTGATTGACCAATCAGAATCAAGTATTTAAGAGTGCCATGTTCTAAAAAAAAAGATAAGTAAGACAGCAAATATAAAAGGTAATAAGGGCACATAAAGTAACAATGAAAAACAACAACAATGAACAAACAACAGCAAACAGTAACAGCAGCATGGCTAAGGTAGCCTTATACGGTGTGCAATAGTGCAAATAGTCCAGTGCAAAATAATCAGGAGGTAGTTGTTGTAACTCCATAGCTGCAGAGCTACAGAGGTACAGAGCTAAAGTGCCCCACCAGAGTTCAATAGTAAAACAGCGTCAGGGAAGAAGCTGCTCCTCAGTCTGGTGGTCCTGCTCTTAGTGCTCCGCAGCATCCTGCCTGAAGGGAGGGGGACAAAGAGAAACAAGAAATATTGGCAATTTAACAATTTCTTCATTTAACAAACAGGAGCCTCAGTAGTGTGGGGAAGAACCATACACAGCCACACCAGCCTGGCACCTCCTCCTCCCCAGTCTTCAACCAGCATTTGTCACAAGTCAGCCAATGTGGTTGTGTGGTCTCCACTCCCAAAGTCTGGAGGTAGTCTCTGATAAACCCCGCTCTATGGCGGCAAGCGTTGTCATCTTGGAGGATAGAGTTCGGTCCCACACTGTGGAGATATGGGATTGCCACTGGTTGCAGAATTTCATCTCGACATCTCTCTGCATTGAGATCGCCTCAAATGATGACAACCTTGTTTTTCCAGTGAGGGAGATGCCGCCCCACATCATCACACTGCCTCCACCAAAAGATGTTACACTATCGGTGTGGCAATCAGCAAAGTGTTCCTCCCCACGCTTTGACCCTACGATCCAGCTGCTCTAGGCAAAATCTGGAGTCATCACTGAACATAATGTTCCTCCACATGTTCATGTACCAGAAGCTCAAAACAAGAGTCAACAGCAAAAACAAAAGCTGTTTGGCATTGGTAGAGAAGATTTGGCAAATTTTTCATGGGCACAACCCACATACTCAGCTCTGCTGCTCATCCCACAAATACATGTTCCTTACAAATGTGGCTCCATTTAAAAGGAAAATAAACAGGCTTTCCAACGGTGTAAGATTTATTGAAGAAATAATCTACTAAACACACGTCCTTACTTTTTGTGCTTAGAGTAAATACACACACATATATATACACATATACACACAGTCTACATGCGTGAAGAGTACAGAGGAGTGTGTGTGTGTGTGTGTGTGTGTTGTGTGGAGTGTGTGTGTGAGGATCAGTAACACAGTGTGTGTTGTTGATGTTCTCCATCAGTAGTCCGCTCGCTCCACCTGTTCTGTCCATTCACAGATTTATAACATCAGCTGTGTGTGTGTGTGTGTGTGTGTGTGTGTGTGTGTGGTCTCCATGGTGACAGCAGGCCGCCAGGGTCTCCGTGGTCTCCGTGGCAATGAAGAGAAACAGGCCAACAACATGTTTGTTTCTGGAGGGGTAAAAAAAAGACTTCCGCTGGGCAACAAATCTACACCTGAGTGTGTGTGTGTGTGTGTTACTGTGTGTTACTGTGTGTGTGTGTGTGTTACTGTGTGTGTGTGTGTATGATATACTGTACACACTGTGGGCCGCGGTCCTCTTTCAGTCTCAGAAACAACCTGCTGCTGCTCAGACACTGTGGACGTCTGAACACTGATCAGACGTGTTTGCAGAGACTCGATCGTTAGTTACAGGTTGTTAATAATCAATAATCATGTTCTGATGAACAGACGTGTCCTATCAGCTCCAGACGTCTCTCCACGTCATGTTCAAGTCTCTACAAACTTCATGTCTCTGGTTCAAACGTCCTCACACAGAGAATCAGTGCTCAGACTCAGGCTGCTCTCACTCATATCTCTGATGTCTTCCTACAAACATCAACCCACCCATCATGTGACCAATGAGCTGACGGCAGTAAACAGGAAGTAGTCCTGAGCACTTGTAAGGAGGCAGGTTGGGGTGGTGGGTGGAGTCACGTGTTCAGATCCGTGTGAACTTTGAGTGGTTTCTGTACCTAAACCTGACCTCTGTGACTTTACCTTAAAGACATAACTGTGCGGATGTGATGTCATTCGTAGGATGTCACATGAACCGTTCTATGAGAATCTCAAAGTACTTTTATGCAAGTAAACTGTACCAGAGTAAAGTTCTACTTTACCGATACTTTATTGATACTTCAGTCAGATTTATAATGCAGGACTCCATGGTGACTGCTACGCCAACGTTAATGAGCTCATCTAACGACTCACAGGAACACAGCCGAGGTCACGTCAGAAGACGAACCAATCAGAGGACAGAGGACTGGATAGTTAACACTCATATATTAGATATGATCAATATATCCTTATTAACAGGCTATGTAAAACAGTCTTTTAAGGTAGCTGTAATTAAACCCCTACTAAAAAAGCCCACCCTGGATCCAGAGGTGTTAGCCAACTATAGACCAATATCTAATCTTCCCTTTATGTCAAAGATCCTTGAGAAAGTAGTCGCAGACCAGCTGTGTGATTTTCTCCAGGATA